ATCAGCGTAGTAATCCCTTTGACGGATATCTCAATTTTACCCAATGCAGCAACTGATTATATGTCATTTTAAAACATTAAAAAAATTGTTCTAAGTTCAATGTACACGTTATCGTAGCACAGACCACCCACGTGACATTGACTAGTGTAAATACATCTGACGTATCATATTTAACAGATACTCCCAGTTTTCAAAGAAACACTGGGAAGAAATAATTATGCATACAAAATCATCTAAATGATTAAACCTTTTATGTGCTCAAAGACTTTGTCTAAGGACTCAATTAAAACGTCTATAAAAGTGGCCGTATATATAATTTGTTTGACATTGATGGTTTCTTGCAAAGAGTTTTGCGTCTGTATATGATCCTCAAACGGATTACTCACGAAAGAGATCCGCGAGAAAATAGCCGTGTATATATCGTTCCATTTATTATAATTTATTATAGAATAAAGAAATTGAAAAAAAGAAACATTGGTTTATATACTGTTTGTAAAGGGGATCTTTGATCAATGTTTGATGATTACATTATTTAATGAAATATTGTTTTTGCAAGGGAGTGAAATAATATAAGTATGTTATTTGCATTAGAAATAATTGATTCCTTAAAGCCCCCAGCGCCCAACGACAGATATATTAAACAGTAGTTAATTTTAAAAAGAAACCTTGTTTTTCGTTTCAAATATGTCTTTACAGAAATGTTTAATACCCTAATGTTTGACTGTAGAATAAAACATATAAGTTTGTTGTATTCATTAGAAACAATTAGTCTTATTAAGAAAACAGGTAAGGTTTTAAATGCCCCAGACTAACAAAAAAAATACTAAGCACCAAAATGAGCCATGTTTTGAGCCATGTAGGTAGAACTAAACATAAGCTTTTGAAAAATATGTAATATTGTTTTAAAAATTCATTTCACATCATTTGTGTCGTTTCATGAAAATACTGATATTTATAAATTTGTTGTGCATGTTTCTATCTATAACGCGCACAAATCCTTTGTCTAGACTATATTAACTATTTCCACTCAACATATGAGTACAACTATTTACATTCAACTGTCGAATGCCACTATTTGCATTCAACTAATGAGTACAATTATTTTCATTCAACTCATTAGTACAATTAATTCACTCAACTTATGAGTACAACTATTTCCACTCAACTTATGGGTACAACATTTCCACTCCACTGATGAGTAAAACTATTTCCACTAAACTGATGAGTACAACTATTTCCACTGAACCTATGACAATAATTATTTACACTCAACTAATTAGTACAAATTTTTCCACTCAACCTTTGAGTACAACTTTTCCAATCAACTTATGAGTACAACATTTTCAACTCAACTAATGAGTACAACTATTTCCATTCAACTGATGAATACGACTATTTCCATTCAACTCATAAATACAACTATTTCCATTCAACTGATTATTACAACTATTTCCACTCAGCTTATGAGTACAAGTAATTCCAATCAACTTATGAATACAACTATTTCCACTCAACTTATGAGTACAGTAGCTTATCGTGACATAGTCACTTGGAAAGTAGAATTCTAGCTTTGCATGATTTAAAACGAACTTGCTTAAACTACCTTAGCAAAAGTTTATTCGAGTGCAAATTTAATTATTTATCTTGCAAAATACGAAATTCACCTTACTTGTTTTTATATAATTTATAGTAGTTTCTCCCTTGCACAAATATTGTAATCAGTCATTATCTATAGTTTGGAAGCTGATTTCTTAAGAACCGTTTCTCATAAATATATTTTCATCTGAAGGAAATCTAACAGTTTTCTTTCTTTAAGTAAAATATTATCTCAATCACAGACAGATTAACATGTTCTGGAGAAAAATCAAGCAGTTCTGTGCTCAGTATAGTTAACAATCATGGTTGGTTTATTGCCTTATGCTTACTGTTTATGTAGTTTAAGAGGTAATTATGCTAAAATGGGAATTTACAAGATTACATATCCATGGCAAGTTGATAGGTGGTTTTAAAGAATTGAATTTTGATACTAATTTCAGTGCGGTGAAAATTATTCATTTTCCCTGTAAACATTTTTCAATGAATGCTTCTGGTTCAAAATTTGATACATGTTTTCAAAAATTAAAATAATTTTAACATATAGATAGAATTTGTGATATATTAATCAATTATTTGCTATTAAGCCGCAACTAAAGCATGATTTTTTAACATTTTTCATAAAAAGTAATACATGTATGTGCAACAGTCTAAACAGGTCAGTAGACAATAACAACTAATTCGTGCATCTACCATTGTAACTCTAAAAATAATATACATGTATTGTTATTTATGTTCCATTCGCACAGGTCTTTCTGTTATTCTTGGTCATTTCAAAAGAACTTTGACAGTTGGAATACCTGCCTAGAAACAATAATGTGTCTGCTTAACTAATTTCTTACTATTTTATACAAAAGTAATAATTAATTCACACATTGTCGGGAATAATCTGTCTAGTAAACATCATTTTTAAACATGTTATTTATTCAAATACAGCTTATACAAAGTTGCAAATTGATACGTTTTGGTTTTGGACAAAACTGCTAAAATTTGTAGTGTTTTTTTATCATATATGGACAAATACATTTTTCACTCTGCTTATATTTTAAACTATATTTAAAAGAAATTCATTGTTTTTGTTGTCATCGATGAGAAATGCCCTGTCATCAACATTGACTTGTTTCGATACGGCAAGTTTTGTACCAATATAAGTAATATTGACGCAGCAATAACAGTATTTCGTCTTGTACATGTATTAATGTATTTATCAATAACCTCATACATATATACTTTTCTCACTTTACCATAGAACTTATTGCATACAATTGTTAACGTAATGAAATCAATAAAAAGTTCCTTTAGGGATTAAAGCATACACAAAGGGGCTTTTCTCCTAGTTGTTTTTCTTTTAAAATGGTCATCGTTTCTATATTTTCCCATAACAATAGTGGGCAATACGTCAGTTAGTAATATGATTAGGTGAAAGCGAACTCGGGCAATCCATTGGTTAGTTAAATAAATACAACAGGAAGCGATTTTTACGAGCGATACTAAAAACTAATCCCTATGGAAATATGCCATTAATCCGATTCAAGTTACATCCTTATAAAACAAACAGTCATTTAACCAGAAGTACCAGGATTAAGTGTGCTAAATGGCTAACATTACGAAATTACTAATATTTGTGTATACACGAAAGGTTTTATTTTTGGTAATGTATTTCACAGTGTTAGAAAATGAGAACTCTAGCGAAGAGACTCGAGCCTTGGACACTCGTTATACCCTACCGCTGCTCTACTGGCTGATCCATCCAGTTGCTAACACTTTATCTTCTAGAATTTTAAATTAATCGTGTGTTTGTTTCAGATTTAGTCACTTTCATTTAACACAGACGCACACAATATACATCAAAGAATGATAATGTAATAAAACGACAATGCGAATTTATCCCAATGGAAAGATATCGTTAACGTAATTGGAACCATGTCCTCAATAAAACTGACCATCGATTACTCCTAGTCCAGGATTAATCTCTCATTATCAAGAATTTGCGTTCGTAGCTAAATAACATGTATGGATGATTGTTGCCTGATAATTGTATTTACTTATTTGTTTCTACTGACGTGTCTGGAAGACTAGTGCTAGATTGTTTTAGGAAAATAAACGAGCATAAATATAACATTTTACATATATATGTATATAAAGTAATGATAAATATTACATACTTTATCATGCAATTGTATAATTTTTATTGTGATTTGTGCTTTTGGCTAGATATATTTGCACTTTGAAGAATAGCATATAATAAAGCATGGACACGTCAGTAAAAAACACAAGTAAAGATGTTCGTGTATATAATATCTGCAAACGAATGAATTGTAATACAAAATACCTTTTTGAAAGAAAAATGTTTCGTAAAGAGCGAAAGGCACATGAATGGAATCATTGGTAAAAAGATTTAAAAAAAAATAAACCAAAAATAACAGCATAAAATTTTGTTCCGGAAAATAACTAATAAAAGTATTTTCATAAAACCCCAAAACAGTTGTTTCCATAAACTTTTTTGGTTGATTTTAGAAAGAGCTTGAACGTTACATTTTTCTGTAATTTAATACATATGGATATTGTACGTTAAAAGAATAAAATATTTCGGAACAAAAAAAAATGTGCTGCTAAATTAATAATACTGTGTAGACATTCTGTGTTACAACCCTTTCGAGGATACCATCAGATTATGAAAATAAGATTATTTTACCGTTTATAAATTTGTCATCAGATATAGCTTAACATAAAGATCGCGAACTTATGATTTCGTAACATCTTGAAGCACACACGCATAACGCAACTGTACCAAAGTCAGCAAAGATACCAAGGACAATCAGTGAGGTTCAAAAGCGTAAAACGTAAATTCTAAAAATCTTAAATCATGTCTCATGTTTTATACTTAAAGGAGTAAAAAACATAAGCAATAGACTCAGAGGAAATTTAAAGTCGATGTTTAGTGCATTTCTTAGGTCGATGTTAGTTAAAAGCGTTAACTTAATACAATTTTACAACAAGGCCGTTTTACGCAATAAATAATTATGATTATTCTGGAAAAATGATGTGAGTGAATGATCTGAAATTTAGCTTAAAGTTATCGGTATAGAATTATATTAAAATGTACAAACATTTCGGAGTAAAAATCAGTCACACCAAGTAAAAAAAAATGTCCGTCGAGTCCCTTTAAATTTTTATGCATGACATGAATTGAAAACATGAATAGTTTGGTTTATAGGTAAGATGAAATTACCGTTCCCACATCAATTTGATATCTACGACTAAGTGTTTTTTTTTCTTCTGAATTTCAATTCACGTGTAACTTGAAGGTCATTTAATCCTTTACATAGCAGTAAAAATTAAATTTCACTCCTTTTGGAACATTGAAATAACTACAGGGAAGATAATATAACATATAAGATATAACAAGATAATAATAATAACCAAGTGGAATATTACAATGCGAAATCATGACTAAATTAATGTTAATAATATACATCCGAAATCACTTTGACATTTGCAAATGTAACTCATATATCAAAATATATATCTTATTAAAAGGTCTTACATATAACTATAATAAATTTAAGAATGATGATCACTCGTATGTTTTATATGAGGTTTATGTCTGCACACTAAAACAGGGACGTCTGCATGATGTAAACAATAATCGCTCACACTTCCGGTTAATGTTCTTCTGATTAAACCCATTCCCCTTGTTCCTAATATCAACATTGCTGCACCCTCCTCTTTTGCCGTCTCTACAATAGCTTCTCCCGGTTTACCACACTGTTGCTTTACATGACCACTTAACTGAAAAAGAAGGAAAAAGAACAAATAAACCAACGTATGTTGACCGGATTCTGTATTACAATTTTGAATACGTCTTCCTATTTAAGTATACAACACGTTGGAAGCTTCGAGTTTTATCGGTTAATAGCTATGTTTATATATTTCATCTATGTTCACAGCTCCTGTGAAAATGAACAATAAAAAAGCGATTGCGCAGTTTAAAAATTTTCAGTTGTTACCTACATAAGCTCACATTCGGTTACACAAGGCCGTATTTAATGTCTTAAATCCTTATGACTAGTTTTCTTATGGCAATTTTCTTATATTTTAATACTTGGATTATTGTCAAACCCTTTTTTCAGAGAAAATTAAAAACAATTATTTTAATACAAGGATACACAGTATTTCCATCACAATCTTAAAAATATCAGAACTGAAATTCTATGTAAAATTTATCTTCACGAGAGATTCTAATAACTCAATGTCTTACGTGGGAATCCTTCATTTTCACAGAATATTTCTCGATGAGTTCATGGATCCTTTCTTCATTGTCTTTTAGGAGATCAGACACAATAGTTGGATCAGTCAACAGTGATGCTGAAAATTGAAACAAAATAAGAAAGGTGTATCGGCTGCGTATATGATCTAATTAGTAAACAACTCACGAAGAACTATCCATGTGTAAACATACTTTTGAGATAATGGTGACATTAATGAAGGAAATGAATTAGAAAAAGTGTCAAAATTTAATTGATTAATAACATCGTATAACAAATACAGGAGCGCATGCGCACCAGATTATTGTCAACTAGTTGGGGAAAATATGCATTACAAATAAACTAAATATGTTGATGATGAAATTTAATATAATGATGTTCATGTATACAATACCTATATTTTTTAATATTTCTATTTTTAATGTTTGTATGGTTTTGAGCATAATCATATCACCAATGACTTTATATGAAATAAATTAGTCAATAAAAATTAACAACTGATATGACAAAAAAGGCGTTATCATAAAAAAGAATATAGCACAAACAAGCCAAAACAAACACGACTTCGGTCACCTCATGAACTTTTATTTAACTAAAGATACTTAAGTTGCTGTGAACAATAGGGGCGCCTACAACCAAACATTATTAACTTTCTTTATAATTAAAAAACTGTCAAAATTTGCACCTAAATTGGAAACAGCAAATAGCCACGATAGTCATATGCAAATTTAATCAAACTGTATCTAGATATATAATTTAAATTATGCAATAAATAAATAACTTAGCTTGGTTTAACGGCGAATTGACACATACATCTACAAATAAACATAAAGAAATATAGAAAATATTTTTTTCAAGAATGAAACTATCATGTCTTTCAAGGATATGAATCAAAGACTTTGGATTTGACAATTCCTGTGATGAAAACTACTTAACCACATATCATAAGTGCTCTGCTCCCTTCTTTTAACTGCTTTATTTGTTTTGAATATGAGTACTTTGATATGCCAAATTGCAAGTGAAATATTGAAATTAGTTAAACTTACAAGTAGATAATATGTGGCTATATTCTGGTACATGTACAAGGACTATCCGATCTCCATCTTTATGTACATTGTTCACATAAACTAAAATAAAACAATAACTTTATGATAAAATCTCGTTAAATAACTGTATCTGTTTTACTACTCGTCATGTCAAAGAAAGAAGATAATGCTTAAGGTAACAGTACAGCACCAATGTAAATAGTACGGTATTTATGTAAACAGTACGGTACTAATGTAAATAGTATTAAGGCCTATTTATTTTACGAAATAATATTGTGTATCAGAATATTTTGTTTGATTTTCAATCAATTGCCTTCCAAAAGATTTTTTCTATTACTAGTCTATATGGAACCAACAAAGGAAGTACTAATATAATAGAGAGATTCAATTTTAATATGAACTTGAATAAAAGATCATTCTATTATATTATGTTATATTTAAAATTATGTTATATTTAAAAAAGCTAAGAATGTAGGTTTATAGATTGCTTTTCAACAAGTGTTATATTTTCTTATCTTATTCTAAGCATTGTGTCTTGTCAATCAGATGTGATATTTTCTTTTATTTATAATACTAAGCTAATATATGTCACTCTTTTTGAATAAGAACGTGATCTTTCATATCAAGCTAAGCTCGTATTTATCAAATATTTATGTTGTTATTGGTAGACAAACTAACACTTGTTTGAAATAACTCACAATCAAATGCAAATTCAGAATGGAAACTGTCGTCTATTGCAATGACAATGGTTCTCCGGTCTGACATTGTTATCTTCTTGTTCTCCCACCTAAGATGATCTGGCATGCATCTTTCTCATAGAAATCTTTTCAGTTTCATCTATAACCTGTCCTATAAGCATGTAAATAATACATTAATACATCGATCATAATAATAAAATGACACGTTCGCACTATTCTAGATTAGTCCAAGTTGCTATTTTACGATATAAATTCCTTATTTGCACGATACTGGGATGCGTTCTGCATTTCTATGAACGTAGTTGTCTCATTGGCAATGAATTTATTTCGTTAAAATGAATAAGTAATGCATATATGTAGTTGATTACTTACTCTAAATCAAAATCAAAATTGTTAAACAGTAGATTAATAATTTTTAAGTTCGAAAGTATCATAATTAAATTTCTCTATATTTTTAATTGAAACAGTTTTGATGTATGAATGTTTCGGAACATTGGTAACACAAAATGAATTTGGTTATTTAAGTCAATTAACTTTTAAGAAAACAATGTTGCTGCTTTTGAACGTAAATTAGACCCAAAATTGACAATGTCGTTGCTCTTTAAGAAACGGACAAATTGTTGCTTATCTCAAAGACATTCTGATTCATGGTTTTAGCTAAACGGGATATAATTTAGCAGTAGTTTTTTCACGCTTATTCTAACTGAAAACAGTTACAAAAAATCTATATATGCAAAACCAAATTTGTTTTTCCTAACCACGGTAAAATAATCTTCATATAATCAAAAACGGATCAGCATGGTGTTAAAATAACATCAAATATCATTATCAAAAATAATCTATATCCTTGGGTCTATAATGACTTGATAACGATTACAAGGCAATTATGCCAACAAATATCTGATCATATGTTTTAGAAAACTTAAAGTGTAGAAAGCTTTAATATATCTACAGTATCTTGTTAACTATATTACTGATTGGAAGAAATGCTAAACATGTATAATAATAATAATAATAATAATAATAATAATAATAATAATAATAATAATAATAATAATAATAATAATAATAATAATAATAATAATAATAATAATTTCCTTGATATTAACTTTAATATTGAAATCTGTTTTCCCCATTGGTAGCCTCTCTATTAGTCGAATTTTTCAAAAAATACAAGAAGTCTTGGGGTGAAAAATAAGTTCGCCAATCAACTTTAAATGGCGATGATATTATTCATTTTATTCAAATAATATGAAAGATCGCCTGTTTTAATAATAACAAACAAACAAATCTAGTAGGAGAAAAAATCCGACCATCCATATTTCTGTTACTTACGGCGAATTTATATTAGACTTGGCTCTTTGAAATGTAAGCGGTAGCCATTTTTAAATGTTGTTTATTTCATTAGCCATACTTCTTTTAAAAGAAAGAATTTTTTTTGAGGATTGTTACAGACAATTAATAAGTGTTGACAGATGTGTAAACATTAAAAAAAAAGACTAGAAAATTGGAACACATTTTTGAAAGTCTACCTTACAAACTTACGAACGCTGGGTTATTTACTTATTCTTCGGGCTTATGTCTGTCATTGATTTTCAATTTATAAGGCTGTTCTTGCTCGTAGCATGTGGAAGGAATTGTATTTTTCAGACTGTAAAAATGAAACAAAAATTAATAGACGATATTTGGTGATTGGTAATTTGAATGAATTGAGATAAGTTTTCTTCTTTTTATTACTTTTGAAATTTCAGTTATTTATCAATTTCAGCTTTGCTTTTCTCTAAACAGCCCTGACAATGTCAGAATTGTCAACAATAATAAAATTGAGGTACCGCATGGGGAAAATCTTAAAAAAGTAGTCTCATCTTTGAAAAGTGTGAAATTATATTTTGATAATTTTCACTGTGAAAATTTTCAAATATAATTTTCACGGATAAATCAGTAATCCACTGAAAAGCATAAAATAAAATAATAATAAAACAAAAACAAAAATAACAAATTCAAATGCAAATTAAAGAAAATTCAAATGATTAAAAAAAAATCAATATTAAAATGAATAATATAAAATTTGAAAAATAAAGAAATACTTTCTAAATAGTTTTAAAGGTTTTTATATTTCCTTTAAAGCAAATGGTGCATGCATGCAATCATTGCTGTACGGTTTCAAATACTCGCATAACATTTTGTTCTGGAATATTTATTATGTTATACATGCAATATTACGTGTGGTTAATAACAGAATCATAACATGTTACAACTCAACTCTTATAAAATCAACTATTTGTTCGTGCTTTAAATAATACAAACTTTACATTTTTTAACTCTTGAGACTCGACCATAAGATTATGAAAATAGTTTTACTGGTAATAAATTTTGTAAAAATAATTCATGATGTATATCTATATACTTTTTAATATATTTTATATTATCATCATTTCATTTAAATGCTTATTTCACATAGTAAGTTAAATAGAAATTCGTAACACTCTGTATATTAAAACATTTATAATAAGTTTATATTTAAAACAAAATGGCCGATACATTCATCACATTTTTTCAGGCGTTAATCATAACCGTTACATTTAAGACATCTACATTTTAATATTATATATGTTTATGCTGCTAACAATAACAACAACAACACCAAAAGTATAAATAAATAAAACACTACATTAACTGACTTACTAGTATACTTAAGGTAGGTGGTTAAGATACTTTGAATGTCTCGAAACGATTTGCAAATTTGTAAAAAGAAGTCACAATGTCAATGTCTTAAACAACATCTTATTTAACCCCTGGTATTTTAATGAGATAAAAATGAGTCTTAAATTGTCTTTTATAGCTTCATCAATAATTACAAATTTATTTTTGATCACTTTGCCAACTAGCAGACATTACCACATACATTTGTATCATTTTCTTGGTGAATTTCCTGTTTATTTTATGTTAGACAGAACCAGAAGTTTCAGTTGCTAAGTAATTATAAACAAGATTAGCATTTCTTTTCAGATTTTTTAATGGTGCAAACACATCACCCAAACTTTTTTATTTTTTAATTTGATGCAAAAATAACAATGCTACAGATTTATAGCATAATAAGTTCAACAAATTGTGTTGATCCGTGAGATGTTATCATATAAGATCATTAATAATATTATAAAAAATAACACAAATTGTATTACTTCATATTTTTTTATCATTATAAGCCCAATGAAATTTAATGAAAGGGGTGTCCGTTGCCGAGTGGTTAAGGTCGTTGATTACAAACAACTTGCTCTTCACCACAGTGGGTCCGATTCCCGACAATGACTAGGATTCTTTTGTGAGAGGGAGCTTTCCAGCTAGCCTGCAATAATGCACGGAAGGTCACCTGACGTTTTCCTCTACCAGTAAAGCTTAAAAATCGACATATCTCTTGTGTGAGTGCGACTTAATATCCAACAAAAAAGAAGTATGAAGGTAATAAAAACAAGTCATGTCACTTGTTCAATTACGCCCTTGTTAAGAATTTGTGCAAAAGCCGAAAAAGCAAAAAATGTTTTAATTCTTATACTTCAAAAGTATTTTATTTTTTGTGGCCCCTTAAATTTCCCTATATTTTATATTGGCTATATACGTGAGCATTGTTTGCTTCTGCCACGGTTTGGAGAAAAGTACGTGAGTGATTAAGTATATCTAATGGAAGTCAAATTCCAATTTGTTTACATTTTGCAATATTTACATATTATTTCACATTTAACGCTATTTCGTTTGGTATAAAGCATCACACATGTTTTAAATCTATTAATACAACATTTTAAAGCACTTATTTAGAGAAGGGATAAATGTTCATTTCTGAGAATTAATATGTCCGTTTAATTAACTACTCACTACAACGTTAAAAAAAATATTTACTCACCACACAGGGTATGAAAAGTTATCCAAGAAACAGCTTTGTATGTTTTCCTTCGTTAATCCGATCAGAATATAACAACACACGTGCTATCCTTGTGAAGTACTAGTATCATCTACAGATCAGTGTATACCTGGTGTCAGTAAAGCATTGGAAAAATATACAAGATAGCTTACATGTTAACCTGACGCCATTAGCAGGTTATGCCTTTTGATCTGGTTATTTGTGGAGAGTTTCTAGGATTTAACCTGACAACAGGATCAATAAACCTTGCGATGTGTTATGCAAGTTGGGAAAATTAAAACATTTAAACACAAAAGACTCTGAACTTACATCAATATGTTTATATCAACATGTTTATAGCTATTTTGTAAATAAAATCTTTACACATTAGAAGAATTTGACAATATAGTCCAATTTCTTTGTATCGGCTATTCATAAAAGTATTTTTTATCAACATATATTTGATAAACAGCACTTGTGTATTCTTAAATATATCTTACTTGTTCAAAACATACTAAACCTTATGCTATTAGGGTGAACTATGTGAACTCCCTCTTATTAGTTATATTTTCAGAAAGATCCGTTTTCAATTAATAATGAAGCAACGTGGAAATCCTCCTTACATGTTTTAAACAAAAACTGGTATTTGAAGGCCAAATATACTGAAACTTTAAGCAAATGAACGTTTCCAAGATTCTAGCATTGATATTACTCGGCAATTGTGCGAGTCGATGGCATAAATGAACAGTACCTGTCTGTTGATTGATTTATTTCCGTAAACAATATTATCAGATATAATTCATTACGTGCACGTTAATGAAAACAAATAAAAATGCCGCAAAACAACAATATTTCTTAAAAAGTATGTGTAAGGCCTTGTTTTAACATGGAAAAACTCGAGCTTGGGTAATTCCAATATTTTTCATCATTTTCTGTTAATTGAATATTTGAATGAATGACCTTATTATAATCACAATATGTGAACATTGGTAAGGAGTATTCTGTTGATCGGTATGAGATAGAGAAAAAGTTCCGCATCTTTATTCTGTATGTGTAAATGGCCAAATGATCATTGAAGATTTGCCAATAAACCACATGTTTATTCTATATGTATAAATGGACAAATATTCATTGAAGATTTGCCAATAAACCTGAAAGCTGTTACCCTGAATATTTATCATCCATTATTAATTATCTATAGTACACTCCGACGTTTAAATGTTTATGATACAATTTCAAAACCAGATTACCATTCATTAATATGATATGTCTACTGATTGGTATTATAGCCTTGTATATATAGGTAAGAAGTTTGAGTATCATCAAATCAAGTCATTAAAAGTCATATGAACAAGTGGCTGTCTCTTTTGAATAACATGTATTCATGTCTTTTACTGATTTACCTGTTAAAATGTAAAATATGCATTTTTTCTCAAACTAATAGTTGACAAGGATATTTTTGTCAATCTAATTTATGATTTGCCTACTGGTTATTATCATTTAGTTTTCTTGAGAAGAACTGTTAAAACTATGTTCAAATTTGATAATTGGTACATAGTTTCCTTGTTAATGTAAAATAAACATGTTAATTTGGACTTAACACAAAGAAGATATGTTTTGTTTTAATATCCTCTACACTATAGGTGGTAACAATATGAATTTATAGTGTCGTTAAAATAACTGGCCTTTTTAAAAGAAAAGACCAACTTTTCGTGACCAGTAATAGGGAGCACAGCTTACAATACATGGTTTATTCATTCTTTCTTTCTTGTTAGACATATTCAGTAAGTCAGTTATATACAGGCGGTTTTATAACCTCAAATTCCTCATTAAAAAGTAATTTTGCCTGGTGCTTTGTTAAACACGCATGTTTTTTTTTCTTTTGGACAACACGCAATAAAGAAATCCAAGACAGTGTCATATAGAACGATCCATGATCAGGGAATCTTTTTAAAATGTCTTATTAATTCATTACCATGTTAATGATTTAATGTTGAATTCTGCTTAAGTCGATGTTACGGAACATTGACACTTAATTGCATTCACTGGTGCAGTCCATGAACAGGCTCAATCAAACATAGCCTGTAATATTTTTACTGAATTCAATAAGGCAATCAACTAACGTTTTAATCAAGTTGTTTAAATTCTTGTAAAACTATGCCATAATGTGTATCACATATGTAGACGTGATCGGTTATCATCGGATCATTTATCTGTAAAAATGCTTAAAATTGTTTAGTTGATTTGTGGGATTGTAATTTTTTACTTTTAAATGTATAGTTGAAAGACGGAACCAACCCTTAAATGCAAATATCTGGAATGTTAGACACTTTAACTGATTAGAATTGTAAGCTTAAGTGACCAATATAATGGAGTCTGTATGTTTATACAACAAGTTAAAATACTAAATTTGTTAAACTATGATGAAATGTAGTATTATTGCACATGTTTAAACAGTTCTCCTATTTATGTAAATATAATAAAAGTGTACCAAAGAGTTGTGTTATATTTCACAGCAATTTCACAGGAGGGCGTAATAAAACCATGCAGAGACACTTTTTGAACACGTGCACCATATTCTATTTACATATAAAAAGATTTTATTTCATTTTGTTTAAATTTAAAACGATATAAAACCATGAATACAAAAATGTTCAAACAATGAAAATTAGATACTGACACGAATAGTTTTCCAACGAACATATTTCCTATGAGAAATTGCCAAATAAATTTTGGAAGCACATTGAAAATTTGACTATCTTTGTGCCAAAAGTGTGCATTTTAAACATGATATTAAGATCTTTTTCCAAGCATAGATTGTATTTTTCTGTTTGTAAACAGCAACCAAGAAATAAATTTGGTGCAGCCAACAGTATCAAGTTCATGGGACAACCAAGACTAACTTGTTGGTTGAGATTGCACGCGGTACAACCAATATTGTATAGTCAGTTATGATTGTATGCAGATACTAGATACAGGTATGTAATAACTCCATTTATTTTAAATCATTTAGGTACGGGTTTAATTTTCCTGAACCTGAATTTGTTCTAGTCAGAGCTACTCACGGTCATTTCCTTATTTAATAAGTTCGATAATATTTTAGGCGCAAAAAAACTAACAATAAAATAAATTGAAAACGAATGTTTTAACCGTGATAAATATATGAAAGTGACCACAAATTAAGCAAGGGCTAACGCATATAAGAATCTATAATGATGTGATATACTAGTCATAAGGTAGGATGAAGGGATAAACTTGAAAATAAAAATGTTGAATATACCATTATTGGCACACTATAAGATGTTTTCTCTTTATACTCGTTACCGTTATAAAGCTCATTTATTTTGATTTGATTTTCGTTGTATTTGAATTTCGCAATTTTTTGGTTGAATGAATTGTTTAAATGTAGGGACTTCTAATACGTTTTCTTGCTGCAATTCCTCAACTTTCTTAGACTAAGATATCACCGCTACTCGACACAATACGTCAAGAAAACACAAACAAGGCACCAAATATTTAGTTGCTAAATTTGTTAAATAACGATCATTCAAGGTTTCAATGAAGATTTTCCTATATTTTGTAAGTCTCTTATCTATACAAAAGATAGTTTTGTTGATTTGTACGATGGTACTATTTATTGTGTATTTTAGATACCAACTTCTGCTGTTTATTTTAAGAAGCGTGTAAAAGTGATAGCTTTGACTATTTCTAAAGCATGTAACAAATAAATTTGTATGTGACGATGTTTAAAATTAAACACGTTTCGGCCCATATGCGGTTGTTAAGAGTAGGTCCCTGTTTTTCCCCCAATCTATTTGTAGCTGTTGGGAATAGCTAGGCTTTATCATACAAGACATTTTCGTGTATTTAATGGCTGTGACAGGTGACAGTCAGTTTTTAATAGTTTTCATATATAAACTTAAGTGAGGGAAAAACTAAATATAAAATACAAAAGTGTGCAGTAAATTATGAACGAGATTGAATTTTTCTTATATAGTTAAAAGCAATTTCCTACTATATCATTATAAAAAACATTATCATTATAAAAATGAAATTATCAAATATTGCGGTTAGGAATTTTTTTGTATGATGACATGATTGCATACTCTCCTATTTTCAACATCCCATTAGTATCAAGTAGATATATGTTACTTTCATATAAATTTGTTTTCACTTTATGAAAAACCTTTAGAGAAATTTAAACATTAAAAATGCGATTTATCAAGAGTTAGCAAGAAGGAATAAAACTTTAATAACCAAATGCATAGACTTTTTTAAGTTTCGATTTCTTAATACACATGATGCTAGCGTGTATTAAAATCAATAAAATTTTAACAATATTCACCTTTTTTGCAACTAGCCATTGTAATTCATTTCCAATAATTTAAGTGGTACTTTGTAATTTGTTGCTGATACTTGTCATCATTTCAAAATAGTTATATTTTATTTGAGTATAAAATTTCACTCTGAAACGAACATATACGGAAAATAAATTGACAAAATATTTAACTGGAATGATCGCGTTTAATAACGGAAGAAATTCAGTAGTATTGGTCGGCTCTATTTAGCTACCGTTGATGAAGTGGAAGAGCTTATATATATGGTGAGGTAAATGCTTGTTCCTGTTGCTCATTTATTTATTTATAGGTGTCTAGAAAATCCCTGAAGCCGCCAATAAATAGACTTTACTGTTACCTTTCTATAGCATTTAACAATTTGGAACGAAGAATCAAACATTAAATAAAAATAGCAATAGAAAAAAATAAATCAAATCGTAAGTGTAAAAATATGTTTTCGAATATAATTTCAGTTAAAGTTTGTATTTTTATTATATAAAATGGTTTTTATTACAAAATTCAAGAATATCAAAATGTCTTTGTAAATTTGAAACATCATTTGATTAGAAGTCATTATTTAAAAAAATGTATTTTATATTTTCAGATGATCTTTAACCACATTATGATGTTAGAAGCTGTTATCGTCTTCGCAATATTTGTTCAGAACACGTTGAGCGTTCCGATCCATAAACAACCGGGGTCGAGTTTGCAAGAAGTTTTCACAATACATAAACGGTCAGATTACACCGTTGAATTTAAAATGAATAGTGAATCACATCAAAACTTAAAGGAAAATAAAACCTTAAACGAAATTGCCGATGCTAGTGTGCAGGACTTTAATAACGATCTTGTATGTCCAGATGAAGTTTCAACAAGAGCATCCGACCCGGTACACAGAAGGTCAAGTTGTCCCTGGTACTACAAAGTAACACATGAACCAAGGAGATGGCCAGTTACCATTATTGAGGCAGAATCACTCTGTCCCTATGCCATTGGTTCAAACAAAGGATTAGAGTGTACTCCGGTGACACAGGCCATGTCTGTGCTGATTCAGGACACTCAAAAAGACTCACAGGGGTTGTACGTATGGAAGCAGAAAACTATTCAAATCGCTGTAGGCTTCACAGCATCTGGTAGACGTATTGCTGAAAGCCAAACGCCTTCACCTACCACAGCCGAATCAAATGATGAGCCAGTATGGGCGAAATAAATATTTGACTCGGAAGTTTTCAAATTTTGACAACATATCTGAGACATTTTCGTCCAAGTTTATGAACGTGTAAGTTGGGCCATACTGGCTTCCTGAAATAGTATGACATATTGTTAGGTTGTTCTGTAGTATATTAAGATTTATAGAAAGATGTTCTGATTTTTTTAAATGTCAGTTATTTATTTGCGTATTTGTTATTGCTAGGAAGTTCACGAGTAATTGTCAGTTATTTATTTGCGTATTTGGTAATGCTAAAAAGTGTTTGTATTATTGTCTGTTGTTAATTTGAGTATTTCTATCGCTCGAAAGAGTATTTGTGAGTAGTATGTGTGTGTTGTTATAAACGATATACGTTCAGTATTTTGACCTGCAAAGGGCATTCAAGTTGTGTACTCTAACACGTGCAATACATATTTTTCTTATTTATGTTTTAAGAATTGAGCTGCCTTTCTTTTTACATTTTATTTATCATTTTATGTGTTAAGTTTGAAATAAAAAATAGTTTAAATTGAAAATCATACTTATCTTCTATCTTTTTATACCTATAAGTGCCATACATTGTTGCATATTAGATACAAAGCTACAGACACAGTGCTGCAGTACATACATCAAAATACAAATTTCATAACTACGTGCTTGTTTAACCAAAACAAGTTTAAAATATTAGAAAAATGATTTGAATTGAAAATATATCAAATCATATGATAGATACCTACAAAAGTTACCAAAATGCATTTGTGTGTATGTAAAAGTTTTTAATGAAACTGCAACATCAACAAAAATGTATATTTTAACATTTTATTTTTATTTCTTTGTTAATGTGTACTGACACGGGACTTTATGTGTCTTTTAAATTATTCTATTACGTAAAGTTTAAGGTTAGTCAAATAATAATATAAATTGACTTAACAAAATCATTCGCAATGTCAGTACCTTTTTAAACTTTTTCTTAAAAAATTGACTTTCGAACTGGGTTGCAAATTTTGACTGCAAAACTGGGCAGCAAACGCCCGCAAATATTTCATATTCAGATATAATGCTTAAAACTATGCCAATAGTGTTGCTAATTGGCATTAAAGCTAAACAAATCACATTTCAATTTAGAATATAAAATATAAAGAAGAATCCCCAACACAGTCTTGTTGAGCAGGCGTTTGACCTAACTCGTATATGTTTTCTTTCTCTGGTTAGAAAATGGAGAAATATTGAATCTTTGTGTGTACAGAAATAAGATACACAGACTTTTAAACATGTTTTATATACCTAACAAAACGACTCAACATAAATCATATTCTGTGGTGTTACAAATAATGACATTTTCTTTTTCATTCCCTTTTTCGTGGTGGATGCCCTTTTAATTTAAAGTTAGTAAATTTAATAGGTCGTCGGTTTAATTTGCTAATGTTTTGTTCATGCTTGTAAAGACTTAAAGACATAAAATAATACAAATGTACATTTAAAATGCCTAAAGATATGTGCGTGCAGCTCCGAGTAAGATAAGTTAGACATGTATGCGGTATACAACTATTTATTGTGGATCAGAAGACAAGGGGTAGGGTTACACGTGTTGGGGTTAGAGGAATTTGGTTTAAGCGGCTGGGGTTGTCTTCATCATCAACATGTCAGAAGAAGAATCTTTTTGGTTCCATTTTCCTTAAGAAATTTTGAAGAAAAGCATGTGAACCATTCTGTGAACTTTTTGTTTTTAAGCTTATAATAATGCAATTATGTGGTAGTTAGGTAAACCAATATGGGCATGATTATTTGGGAAAAAAACAATCGTGTTTTGTACTTTAGATTTACATTGTTATATATATTACTTACTTGATTTACACCAAAAATTACCTTGTTGTACACAAGACTTAAGCATTTCTTAACCACATATCTTAAATACTATTAACATTATCATTACATGTTGTATGTTTCAAAATAAAATCCACAGTTACATGGTGTATTTACCTGTCTGGAATTTTGACAATGTGATTTTACGATATTACACGTTCTTTCATGGATTATAGACATGAATTTACAAGAACTTCATGTGCTTTTCAGGAAATATACAGGTAAATAGCTTTGTTCGAAATGTAACATAAAAAGTTGAAAAAACTAAGATCTTTAAGTTTTGTTACAAAAAGTCAATTGTTGGCTTCAGAAATGCTTTTTCGTATGCAAAATATGAAGAAAATACATTGTTTTTATAGTTTAGATTTTATATGGATGTAACATTTTTTAACAAGTAGAATGCAGTCATGAGTGATGTATTAGATATATAGTATAGATTAGATGATAATAATAAATCTAATAAGTAAAACGGATAGGAAGGGTGTGACATAACCAAGCTACATCACGTGTATCGAAGTCTTTCCTTGTTTCATAATCCACCAAGCGGATGTTTCAAACATGTTATTGAGGGATCGACAAAAATAACCATACCGTTATCCAATATGTCATAGATATAGTAACGATTTTGACCTAGTGATTAGCTAACAGAATTAAAAACACACGCGTGATATAATAACTTATCATCATTTTTTTTTTTGTAGCTGAAATAATTGAATAAATCTTACAATGATTATATGGTGATGATAAAGAAGGCGATGCTTGTGGTAGTTGTGGTGGAGATGGTGATACTTATGAAAGTGATAATTCGAAAGTATTTCAGCACATAAAATAAAAATATAACAACTTAACGGATCACCCTGCCGGCACCCACGCTGAATGTTAGAGAAATTTGATAAAAATCCATTTTGACATATTGCTGAAATCCCATCTTTATAGAAAATGCTAAACCATCTTTTGATGTCTTCTTCAAAATTTAAAAGTGACAACGTTTTATCTACAAAAACCCAAGACAAAGAAACAAAAGCCTTTTCGAAATCGATAAGGAGTAAAAGCCCAGAAATGTTATTCTCCTCTGTATGTTGCATTATATCATAAATTAGTCTTACATTTTCTCCTATAAATTTGCCCTTTATAAATCCTGTTTGGTCAGTGTTAATAAGTTTGTCTAATATATTTTATTCTATTCGCTATGCATCCAGAACCAATTTTATAAATTGTATTAAGCAGTGTAATCGGTCGCCAATTTTTTAAAAATTGTTTAGGCTTATCACCTTTAGGGATACTTGTTATTATTCCCCGTGTTTGTGTTACAGAAGTTTCCGGATATAAAAGCATGGTTTAGAGCCCTGCAAACAAATACGCCAATTATGTTCCAAATACATTTATAAAATTCTGCTGAAAATCCAGATGAGCCTGGACTTTTATTATTTTTCATATTATTAAAAACGGTAGATGCTTCTTCTAGTCTGATTTTACCCTCGAGCCAGTTGACTCAGTATTTGATAATGTTTGAATGTTTATATCTTTAACAAAATAAATTTAAAAACATATTATCCTCTAAGTCATGTGAGGTACACGTATATAATGATTCATAAAAAAGTGCAGTTCCGTTTAAGATTTCTTCTTGTTTTGTTATTAAAGTACCTTCGTTTTTCATGATTTTTGTGATACATAAACATAATATATTAACATAATTGCTTTTTTCAAGATTACTAAATAATTTACTTGGTTTCTCTCCATCAATTACCCAGTCAACTTTTGATCTCAAAATGTAATCTTGAAACTTATTTTCTTGTATAATATTCAATTCGTTACGCAGCTTTTCGAGTTCTTCCCTATCTTGAATAGTTTCTGATTTGTTTCCAGCATTTCATTATCTTTTTTTATCTGTATTTCCCTTTCATAACTTGATTTTTTCTTATACGAACCGTAGGATATGGATTTACCTCTTATTTCCATAAATAAAGTTTCTAAAAATAACTGATCGTTCATTACAAATTGTATATCCTCGTTTGGAACACTTTCAATTGTTTCGAAATTATAAACAGGTATGGCATATTGCTTTTTAACGTCTTCATTTTTTTTATTTATTTCATTAACATATTGAATATCTCTAAGTAGAGAATCGTTGTGTTTCCAGAGCCATTTATCATGCTTAAATTCACTAAATTTTAATTGCATTATAATAATTGAATGGTCAGACTGAAAACTAGGTTTGATAAAAACATTTTCACAGTATGGTGACATAAACGAAAATGAAAGAAAGAAATCGAGTCTAGCTTGTTGCAGTGGGTTTGCCTTTCTCTCTTTTTATCAGGTTGAAGTTCCCTTAAAGGATCAGTTAGACTTTTTTCTTCCATGTGTTTCAAAAGAGTTGATCTTGCATTTTTATTATTTATATTTTATAGTTATAATAATCTAAATCAGGATTTTGCACCAATTTGAAATCACCACAAATGTAATACGAGTCATTTCCTATATTCCTAACGACCTTGAAAATGTTCTCATAAAAGGACGGATTGTCGGAGTTGGGTCCGTATAACGATACTAAAGTAAATCTTATATCTCCAACAGACAAGTCCAGTGTGACATAATTTCGAAAATCATCAACTAAATAAATACTATATTTTTATGTATTTTATAATCTAGAGACTTTGAGAAACATATTGCAACTCCCCTAGAACTCCCCTTAAAAAACATTCCCAATTCCTTTGAGTATAAATGGTGTCAAATTGACTGTGTAGAAAATGTGTGTCTTGAGGACAGTAAATATCACATTTTGAATATTTTATGTACTGAAATACTTGCAGCCTTTTCTTCATACCTTGAATGCCTCTTCAATTAATAGATAAGATTTTTAATTCACTCATATTTTTCAGTAAGAAAAGTTGTTTGACTACATTACTAATACAAAGAGGTAATAAATACAAAAACATTGTCACAGGCAAACTAAAACAACAACAAAAACACATCATAATGTACAAATGTTTTTTTAGCTTAACACGATTTTCACAACGAATTAACTAAAACAAACTATATTTGCATTCAGATATGGTATACATGTATTCAGTTATTTAGGCGGCTTATCCTAGCTTACATAACACTAGACAGAATAAAGATGTTGGCTTTAGTAATTTCAGAAAGTTCAAGTTCAATATTTTTATAGTCCGCAATTACGTCTGAATGAAAAATCGGAAAGGAACGAAAAGACTGAGAAACAATTTGTAAGACTTTTTTGTAACGTTCATGGGAAAACGAAAATTAAAAAAGACAATTAAAATCAAAATGTGACGCTATACATTTACTGAATTGTCCGCAAAAATTTATGTGTTTTTTCTCTTTTGGACAACACGCCATAAAGAAATCCAAGACAGTGTCATATAGAACGATCCATGTTCCGCGAATGTTTTAAAACGTCTTATTAATTTATTACCATGTTAATGATTTAATGTTAAATTCTGCTTAAGTCGGTGTTAAGAAGCATTGACCTTTATTTGCATTCACTGGTGCCGTCCATGAACAGGCTCAATCAAACATAGCCTGTAATATGTTTTGCTGAATACAATGTTAAAATAAATTTGTTTAAATTCTGTAAAACTGCCATAATGTGCATCGCATATGTAGGCGTGATAGGTTATCATCGGATCATTTATCTGTTAAAATGCTTAAAATTGTTCAGTTGATTTGTGGGATTGTAATTTTTTTAACACTTTTAAATGTTTAGTTGAAAGAAGGGAACATCTCTTAAATGCAAATATCTGAAATGTAAGACACTTTAACTGATTAGAATTGTAAGCTTAGGTGACCAATATAATGGAGTCTGTATGTTTATACAACCAGTTTAAATACTAAATATTTTAAACTATAATGAAATGTAGTATTATTGCAGATGTTAAAACAGTTCTCCAAGCTATGTAAATATAATTAAATTGTACCCAAGAGTTTTGTTAAATTTCACATAAAATTGCCGGGAGGTCGTAATAAGACCATGCCTAGACACTCTTTGAACACGTGCACCATACTCTATTTACATGTAAAATGATTTCATTCCCATTTGTTTAAATTGTAAACGATATAAAATCATGAATATACAAAAATGTTCCAACACTGACAATCGCATAGTGGCTAGAATTAGTTGGCACGAATAGTTTTCTACCAAACATATTTCCAATGAGGAATTGGAAAATATATTTTGGAAGCACATTGCAAATTTGAATATATTTGTGCCAAGAGTGTTCAGCATTCGATTGAACATAATATTCAGATCTTGCCAAGCATAGATAGTATTGCTCTTTTAGAAAATTTGAATGGGAAAAAGTTTAAGGTCGAAATAACAGTAACCAAGAAATAAATTGCGCGCAGCCAACATTATTGAGTCGACGTGGATAACATTGTGGTTTAATTTTCTTGAATTTGAATTCGTTCTGACCAGAGCTTCTCACGTTCATTATTTTATTGTCCCCCGCTTTTATGAAGAAAAAAGAGGGATATAGAAATAGGCTCCGTCCGTCTGTCCGTCCGGGCGCCAAATGTTGTCCGTCCGTCAAACTTTCGTGTCCGATCCATAACTTTGTCATTTATCAAAGGAATTTACATTAATTTGGCACAAATGTTTGTTATAATAAGACGATGTGTCATGCGCAACAACCAGACCCCTTCCTCCAGGGTCAAGGTCGCACTTGCTTATTCAAGGTGAACATTGTCTATTTGAGGGTATATGTCGTGTCCGGTCTATAACTTATTTTCATCTTTGAAGGGATTTTGTAAATAATTGCCACAATTGTTCACAATCAATTGTTCACAATAAAGAGACGATGTGTCATGCGCAACAATCGGTCACCTACCTCTAAGATCAAGGTCACACTTGGAGGTCAAAGATAAACATAGTCTGTTATAGGGTATATGTTGTATCCGATCTAGAACGTCTTCATAGTTCAAGGGATTTTAAAATAACTTGGCACATATAGTTACAATAATAACACCTGCATTCCTACCTCCAAGGTCAAGGTCACACTTAGAGGTCAAAGCTTAACGTTATAGATTTTTAAATTCCGTGTTTCATTTTATTTATTTCATAAATTTATTGTTGCGTTTGCAGATCTAGCATTGATCATAATTTTGGACTGAAAGTCCTGAGATCCATACCTCAATCTTTTGAAATAGCACAATTTTATGATTCATATAATACTTACCCGAGGCGAGGGACGTTTGTTACTCTGTTACAAATTCTTGTTGTAATAAATTCGATACTTTTTGGCGCAAAAAAGTTTTTAAAAGATAAAAACGAATGTTTTATCCACATTTAAGTAAAATGAAAGTGGTCACATCTTAAGCGAGGGCTTAATGAGTGCTCATATTATAAGATAGAATAAAGCGACAAAATGTTTTAAAAAAAGTTGAATATACCATTATTGGCATACTATAAGATGTTTTCTCATCTTCACCGCTATAACATATTGAATTTCGTTACCGTTATAAAGTTTATAGGTGTATTTTAATTGCACGACTTTTCGGATGAATAAATTGTTTAAATGTAAGGATTTCTAACACTTTTTCTTGCTACAATACCCTAACTTTCATAGACCTAGATATCACACCAACTCGCCACAATACGGCATGAAAACACAAACAATGCACCAAACACCCGGCTACAGCCGGAGTATACTAACATGTATTGTAGGATGAGTGCAATTTTTGTTAAATGTCCGGTCATTTACAATGGGCCATGATTTTAATATGGCTATGATAGTACATTTTTGTCATAGTACACAATGTAGTGAGTGAGACTCTTAGCTGCTAAATTTGTTTTGCCGAGGTTTTCATTGAAGATTTTACTGTATTTTTGTATATCTCCTATCTAAACAAAAGATAATTGTGTTGATTGGTACCAAGTCTTGTTCAGAGTCTTGTATTTTTAGATACCAACTTCTGATGTCAATTTTAAAAAAAATGTGTGTTATTATTACTACGAACATTTCTAAAGCATGTAAATTATTTTTTTATGTGACAAGATGTTTAAAATGAAAAACGTTTCATCCCATTTTCGGATGTTAGGAGTAATTCCCACGTTGTGTTTTTCATTGTTGGGAATAGGCTTTATCAAACAAGACATCCTCGTGTAGTTTCTGGCTGTGGTAGTCCGTTCTTAATATCATATATAAACTTAAGTGAAAAAAAAACAAATATAAAATACAAAAATGGGCAGTAAATTATAAAAGAGATTTATTATTTTTCTTATATAGTTAAAAGCCATTTCCTACTATATCATTATAAAACAATTATCATTATAAAAATGAAATTGTCAAATATTGCGGTTAGGAAATTTATGTGTGATGACATGATTGCATACTCCTTAGTATCAAGTAGATATATGTTACTTTCATATTAATTTGTTTTCACTATACGAAAAAGCTAAAGAAAAATTCCAACATTAAAAATGTCGATTTATCAAGAGTTAGCAAAAAGGGAAAACACTTTTATTACCAAATGCATAGACATTTTAAAGTTTCGATTTTTTAAATGTACGTGATGCGAGTGTGTATTTAAAGCAATAAAATGTTAACAATATAAACCTATTTCGCATCTATTTCGCATCTAGCATTTATTAAGTTAAGGGGAAATTTGTTGCTGATACTTTTCAACATGTCATAATAGTTTTATTGCATTTAATTATTGAGTACATAATTTCATCCTGAAAAGAACATTTAGGGAATTGTAACATTCAGGAAATTAATTTTACAAAATATTTAAATACAATCTATATTTACATGATCGCGTTTACATACGGATGTAGTACAGTAGTATTGGTCGGCTATTTTTAGTTACTGTTGATTAAGTGGGGGAGTTTATATATGGTAGGTAAATGTTTGTTCCTGTCGCTCATTTATTTATTTATAGGTGTCTAGAAAATCCCTGAAGCCGCCAATAAATAGCATTATGTTACCTTTCTGAAGTATTTTACAATAACAAACGAAGAATCAAACGTTATCAATAAAATAGCAATATAAAAAATAAATCGTAAGTGTAAAACTGTGTTTTCGAATATATTTTAGTTAAAGTTTGTATTCTTTTATATGTAATGGTTTTAATTACAAAATTCAAGAATGTCAAAATGTCTTTGTAAATTTGAAGTATCATTTGATAAGAAGACATTATTAAAAAATTGTATTCTATATTTCAGATGATCTTTAACCACGTTATGATGTTAGAAGTTGTTATCGTCTGCGCAATTTTTGTTCAGAACACGTGGAGCGTTCCGATCCATAAACAACCGGGATCGACTTTGCAAGAAAGTTTGGCAAGGCATAAAAGGTCAGATTACACCGTTGAGTTTAAAATGAATAGTGAATCACATCAAAACTTAAAGGAAAATCAAACCTTAAACGAAATTGCCGATGCTAGTGTGCAGGACTTTAATAACGATCTTGTATGTCCAGATGAAGTTTCAACAAGAGCATCGGATCCGGTACACAAAAGGTCAAGTTGTCCCTGGTACTACAAAGTAACACATGAACCAAGGAGATGGCCAGTTACCATTATTGAAGCAGAATCACTCTGTCCCTATGCCATTGGTTCTAACAAAGGATTAGAGTGTACTCCGGTGACACAGGCAATGTCTGTGCTGATTCAGGACACTCAAAAAGACTCACAGGGGTTGTACGTATGGAAGCAGAAAACTATTCAAATCGCTGTAGGCTTCACAGCATCTGGTAGACGTATTGCTAAAAACCAAACCCTTTCCCCCTCCCACACCCGCATAAAAAGATGACCAGTAGGGGCGAAAAAAATATTTGTGGGAATTTTTAAAATTTGACAACATACGGGGCATTTTCGCCCAATTTATGAACGTGTAAGTTGGGCCATATGGCTTCCTGAAAAGTAGACATATTTTTGGGGTTGTTCAATAGATAAAAAGATTATAAAAAAAATTTTGATTTTTTTTAAATGTCAGTTATTATTTGCTATATTTTTCTGGGAAGTTCATGAAAATGCATTTTTTTTGTTTTTGAAATGCAAAAAAAGGGTTTATTTGTCTGTTTTTAATTAATTTTTCTATCGTCGAAAGTTTTTTGGGAGTAGTATTGTGTGTTTTATAAACGATTACGTTCAGTTTTTGACCGCAGGGGGCATTCAATTGTTACTCAAACACTGCAAAATATATTTTTTTTTTTCATGTTTTAAGAATTGAGCTGCCTTTCTTTTTACATTTTATTTATCATTTTATGTGTTAAGTTTGAAATAAAAAATAGTTTCAATTGAAAAATCATACTTATCTTCTATCTTTTTATACCTATATAGTGCCATACATTAATGCATATTAGATATAAAAAAATACAGAACCAGTGCTGCAGTACATACTAGTACATAAAAATACAACTTCATAACTACGTGTTTGTTTAACCAAAATGTGTTCAAAATTTTAGAAAAATAATTTTAAATGCAAATATATCAAATCATATGATACCTACAAAAGTTACCAAAATGCATTTGTGTGTACCTAAAAGATTTTAATATAACTTATATATTTCATATTCAGATATAATGCTTCAAACTATGCCAATAGTGTTGCTAATTGGAATTAAATCTAAACAAAACTCTTTTCAACTAAGAATATAAAATATAAAGTAGAATCCCCAACACAGTCTTGTTGAGCAGTCTTGTTGAGCAGACGCGTTTGACCTATTATATGTTTTCTTTCTCTGGTTAGAAATATTGAATCTTTGTGCGTACAGAAATAAGATAAAAGATACAAAGACTTTCAAACATGTTTATTTACCGTACAAAAACGACTCAACATAAATAGTATTCTGTGGTTTACAAATAATGACAATTTCTTTTTATTCCCTTTATCGTGGAGACCCTGTTAATTAAAAGTAAGTAAATTTAATAGGTCGTCGATTTAATGTGCTAATGTTTTGTTAATGCTTGTAACGACTAGAGACTTAAAATAATGCCAATGTACATTAAAATGCCTAAAGATATGTGTGTGCAGCTCCAAGTAAGATAAGTTAGACATGTATGCGGTATACAACTATTTATTGTGGATCAGGAGGAAATGGATAGGGTTAAACAGGTTGGGGTTAAAGGGGTTGGGTTTGAATTAGAGATCATCAATATATTTTACATGCCATCTTAAAAAGAAATTTTGAAGAAAATAAGCATATGAATAATTTTTGTTAACTTTTCCATTTTAAAATAGTTTAAGAAATAAGCTTATAATAAGGCCATTATATGGTTTTAGGTAAACCAATAAGGGCATTGTTGTTTTGGAAAAAACAATTGTGATTTGTACTTTAGATTTACATTGTTATATATAATACTTACTTGATTTACACCAAAAACGTTCCTTGTTGTACACAAGACTTAAGCATTACTTAATCACATATCTTAAATACTTTTAACATTATCATTACAAGCTGTATGTTTCAAAATAAAATCCACAGTTACATGGTGTACCTATCTGGAATTTTGACAATGTGATTTTACGATATTACACCTTCTTTCATGGATTATAAACATGAATTTATAAGAACATCATGTGCTTATCAGGATATATATATGTAAATATCTTAGTTCGAAATGTAACATAAAAAGTTGAATAAAAACTTAGATCTTTAAGTTTTGTTTAAAAAAGTCAATTGTTGACTTCAGAAATGCCTTTTTTGTATGCAAAATATGAAGAAAATACATAATAATTATAGTGTAGATTTTACATGACTTTTTTGTATGTTACAAAATTTAACAAGTAGAATGCAATCATAAGATGAGTGATGTATTAGATAAATATAAATTAGATGATAAGAAATAATTTAATTAATTAAACCGACAGGAAGGGTGTGACATAACCAAGCTACACAACGTGCATCGATGTGTTTCCTTGTTTCTTAGATCACCAAGCGGATGTTTCAAACATGTAATTGAGGGATCGGCAAAACTAACCATACCGTTAAACAGTATGTCATAGATGTAGTAACGATTTTGACCTAGTGATTAGCTAACAGAATTAAAACACACGCGTGATATAATAACTTATCATCATTTTTATTTTTGTAGCAAGAAATAATTAAATAAAACTTACAATGATTATAATGGTGATGATGCTGGTGGTAGTGGTGGTTGAGATGGTGATTATTATGATGATGATGATGATGATGATGATTTTGATAATGATATTCCGGTAAATGCTTTTTTACGCATTATAGTTTGTTCTTGCTTGAAAAAGATTGCACATGAATAAAAACATTCAAGCATTCCTTTCTCATATATGATTGGTTAATACTTGCACATCAGTGCATATATTTTTGTTTTAAAACAGTAGGGTAATGTACAGTGAATTTTAAGTTTCAGTTGTTAATTTATGATCGGATATATTGACATATATTTACTTCCTTATGAAATATTTTGTAATAAATAAAGAGACAATCTTACATAATATCTATCAATAAACTTCCTGCTTTTTACCGATCGAATACACAGTGATTGAATTGCAGTGTGGGATATAATTGTGAAATACATGCATCGAAAGTTGTTTAATTAGCATGGAAGTTAACTATTGGTCAATTAGATAATAAAGGATTGTATACATATGGAAGTGAATTATTGGTAAATTTTATAGTATATTAAGATGAACATATACATACGCTTTAAAAGAACAAAACTTCAATGATTAATATACAGAAACAATAGTTTACAAAATAAATCAGCGTATTTTCCTCTGCTGTTCTTCCTGTATCGTATATTTTTTGGAAAACTTTAGCCTACTTATCCGTTTAATTTCATAACAAAGTCCGCATTCTTTTGAAAAAAAGGTGTTTATTTCGTCACCATAAAGAGAAGAATATCACCTCATCGTATTGAAATATATTCACGTCAAACTAATGGCGTTATGTATAAATACCATTAAACGAGAATATTTCGTAAAAGAGCGGGCACCTAGGTAATACTATTTGACAACAAATACATACAAATGTTCAATTGCTACTAAAAGTCTTTCAGATAACATTTTAAGACAAATCTGATTTAATTTTGCCGCGGTGCGCTATAGAACAAGTTTTTACGTCCAGTACTTCAGAAATATCTTGGACTAGTTTGCCCATACGAATATGAATTGAAAATGTATTATATTTGTTACAATGTTAGACACGGATGTGATCCAGTGTTGATATGACTTGCTTTAATTGGACATGTATTAATGTGTGACACATCTACGTAGGCATTCAATTTTAATGTTTTCAATGAGTTTAACATAATTATGTGCAATATATCATTTCTTAATTGGTTGTTTACATAAAAAGGGAAATGATAAATATCTTCCGCTGAATGGGGGAATACGATTCGTTCAACCAGGCGGATGATTACATGCGTAAAATACTTTGACTGGTTTAAAACAGTACTTAAAAGGGGTGTATTCAATTTCAATATCTGCCCAACCACAAATTCTCGTTATTTTTCTGAATTTGTTGAATGTCACAAAATTGACAATAAAATACCCTCTTGGCTTTTTAAAAAGATATAATTACATACGTTAAAGTGTAAACGTTTTAACTATTTTACGTGTGTGTCGATACATGTTTATGTTTGATAATGAAAACAATTAAAATAACCGGATATCTTCATTGAACAATATTATATTAAGAGTTTTCAGAAAGGAACTGTCGCTATCATATTAACCAATACGATAAAGATAAATTCATGAAGTGTTTCATAGTAAAAATTATTAATGAAATTGTTATTTTACATCGAAACGCAGTTTGCGGTCACAAAGAATATTTCGTAAACAATAGATATCAAAAAGCCTAAAGGCAAAGAAAAATGAAAGTCTTAGTAATACATAGATAATGTAAAGCATTTAAAATGGAAAAATCTGAAGTAGTAAAATATAGAAATATACTCAAAATATAATCGAAGATGCTTTTGATTTTCCCAATTTTGATTGCAAAGCGTTGTAACCTTTTTAATTTTTAGTGATTTTGCACAATGAAAATTGTTTTTCAGGAACAACGAGGTGAGAAAATGAGCTCAAAATCTGCACACATAAACTTATTTATCGAGACCTAGATTGAATGATAAACAAATCTTGAAAAACTATTTCTAGTCCCGTCATTTAAATAAATAAACGCCCTCAATGGAGAATTTCCCGTTGTTTCCTTGTTCTACACATTTCAGATAAAGATAAAAGTAAATATTGATATATTAAAATAAACACGGCAATAAAAATTATGAACTATAGTAGGCATAACACCTGTAAATCAAGACCAAAGACTTAAGTGTTTTGTTTTGTTTTTGTTTTATTTTAATGCTTTATATAACTATTAAACATCATCAATACGTAAACGGAATAAAGCTTGCAATTGAAATTCAGGCGACCACAATGAGGAGTTAAGACAATCTCTTTTTAAAACTTTTAATCACATATTCTAAATGTATAGCCGAAGTAGGAAAAAAAATTAAACGCAAAGTCCGTCAGGTGTAATGTTGTAAAATATTTGTTAATGTGTTTTACTAAATTTAAAAGATCTCAACTTATACTTGTACAACTGACATAGTAAATAAAGCAAATACCGGATTTATGCACTTCCTAGTTTTTATAAATTAATGTACCATAACAAATAATATTTGGCTGTAGTTACAATATGCTTTATGAAATACAAATGTAATATATGTAAACTACACAAAATGTTTATGAAATTGATTTATTATCAATGTATTTGCCGATCTAGTCGGCACGTTTTAAGTACAAAAGATAATGCAAATTCAAGGTTAATTTAT